TTTTATTTTATTTTAGAATATTTTTATTATTCCAAAGAGAGGCAATTTTTAATACATTTTCCAGAAATAACTTGAAGCAGGTTACATAAAAATATACACAATGAAGTTTAAGGAGGGAAAAGTGGGAATAAGAAATCAAAGACCAAAGGATTTGCCAACATGGGGCCAACTTTGGTGGAATAATGAAGGTTTGTGTTAGCTCTGCTCTCTTTTTTCTGTTGGAAAATCCTAATGAGTTTATTGGGCTTGAGGACAGAAGGGTGGGGGTTATTTATAGAAGGGCGGGTGGGCAGGTACCCCCCTCCCCATTTACGGCTGTGCCGGAAACTCCACACTCAAACATAAATCCTGTGACTTCCCAACAGCCGCATAAAATGGCGAAAGAGGTGCCTCATGGCGTTTACTCAGACAGAGCTCAACAATAATCTTAAAATGTTTGTTTTGCCAACATGGGGTCAACTTTGGTGGAATAATGAAGGTTTGCGTTAGCTCTGCTCTCTTTTTTCTATTGGAAAATCCTAATGAGTTTATTGGGCTTGAGAAGGGTGGGGGTTATTTATAGAAGGGCAGGTGGGCAGGTACCCCCCTCCCCATTTACAGCTATGCTGGAAACTCCACACTCAAACATAAATCCTGTGACTTCCCAACAGCCACACAAAATGGTGAGAGAGGTGCCTCATGGCGTTTACTCAGACGGAGCTCAACAATAATCTTAAAACGTTTGTTTCTACAGGGATGCATAGTTCCCTGTGTAATTTTGTAGTGGCCATTATAGTATATTATACTTGATTGGATTACGCCGTGTATTACATGTATGTCATTAGTGTTGACACGAGGCGCAGCAGACAGTGTACCGTCTTTTGGGAGAGAAAATTAACGAAGGAGATGAAATGTTGAGGAAAGTAGAAAGAGATGAGAATCATCTTGTTCTAACGTAGGAGAATTTTCACCTGACCAGCTCCTTCAGTCCTCACTGATCTGCAGGCTACACGAAGCCCCCAAGGCAGAAGTAAGAACACGATCAGGATTGTCGCTAGGCTGGGCTAGTTTAGGAGCTGGACAGATGGTCAAATGCCCGGAATTACTGGACCAGAGCCTGAAAAAAGGTCTCAGGGACCCATCAAAGGAGCCTTGGGAAAAGGTGTGAATGTGAGTTTTATCTGTCGTGTTGTAGAACGAGACACGTCCATCTTCGTACTCTAAGAAGATGCACACTCTGGTGGGGCGCTCTGTTAGAGTCAGCCGGGTTTCTGGGGAGGTGACCGCCCAGTACTCATCCTTATAGTGCCTGATGGCCCAGAAGCCAGTCTCGGGTTTTATGCAGATCTTTTTCTTCCTGGTCACATCATGTCTACAAACCCCCAGGTCCCAGGCTGTGCAGTGCCCGACCTCCACCTCCCAGTACCATCTCCCCGAGTTGAGGTCCTCCTGGCCCAGCACACAGGGGAGGGAATGAAATCTCAGTGAGTTCCTGGGCAAACTCTGAGCTTTCTCCCCCATGGTCACACGTCGTCTCTCTTCAGTCAAGATGAGTTTAGGGTGGGCTGTGTCTGGATCCAGAGTCACAGTCACTGCAAAGAAAATCATCCTTTTGAGCTGAGACACTTCACCAGATCCTGGAAACAGGGAGTCTGTGTAGACAGAGAGGTCTGGGCTGTGGGTGGAGCGAATGCTCTGACATGGGTTCTGTCGACTGCCCTCCCTACCCATGACCCCCCCTGAGCGGCCACCCTGAGATCAGCAGGGAATGACTCACCAGGGTGGGAAAATTCTTTCCTCCAGTCTGAAAAGAACAGAAATATGCATTATCAGAGCTTATTATTTTAATTTCCTAGCCT